GTAGTAGTAGTAGAGAGAGAGAGAGAGAGAGAGAGAGAGAGGAGAACATGCAATCAAAGACTGTAGTTTTGATATTAGTAATCAGCAATGCAAGCTATTTGTTAGTCCATCTTTTTCTTGTTGCTGTTACTTGAATCTTCAGCCATCTTCTTCCATCAACTTGTCTCACGCCACTCCCAAGCCTTCATCAATACAACTTGTCTGGTGTGAGTAAAGTAACCAAAGAATGACAGCATAACTTTGTGCGGTTTAATCTTTCTTAAACCTTCTCATTGTGTAAGTAAGCATCGAAAACCCAACCACAAACTCAGCTCGAGCTGCACTGTTTCTTGGATGTTCAGCTGCAAGATTTAGGGTTTATGAGTGATTTAAGCCCTTCATAGTATGAGGAGGATAAAGACACCCAAGAGCTGAAGAATGATTGATTGTTAATGTGGCACATAAGCACATCGACTTTGAATGATTGCTTCGAGCATTTTTGGTTCTTCCTTCCACATTGATGGAGTCTCAAGAGATACTCCCAACTTTCCAAGCTTTTCCTACTCAAATCTTTTTCTTTTTTCTGCTCAATCTTCCTTCCTCTCCTTGGAAGGAGAGGGGGGTGGGGGGCCACAGCCTTTTGGTTTCCACTTCCTCTTTATCCATCCACCCACCCATCCCCAATGCTGTTGCACCACTGCCATTGATATGATTGAGCTCTCCCATCTTTTTGACCAATCATTTCCTACTTCTCTGTGCCTTCTTCTTGGTAGTTTCTGATGAGGAAAAGATCCATCCATCAATCCTGTCAATCATTCATTCCATGCATCAAAATCAGTGCACTAAATCATCTTCTTCACTCAGCATTGAATGTCCATTGTAGCCTTATACACAATAATTATATTATATAACAAGATGAAAACTTCCTACAATTTGCTTCTCAAACTTTAATCTGAATTCTTGTGAGGCATATAACAGAGGTTAGCTACACAAAATACGGACAATGAAAAAGATCATTTCTTACTTTTCGTGATCTTTTCTTACCTAATAATATGGGGAGAACAATTCAAAATTGGACTTTATATTTGATGAAAATAATAGAAGATAAGAACAATTATTAAAGAAGCTTTATTGAAGAAGTGAATAAGCTTTATTGAAAAAATGAAAATGCTTCAATTCATTAACATTCAATTCATTAACATGTTTCCTCTCCTATTTATACAGATTAGGAGAGAGGATTTCCCTCAACAGAATAGAGAGATTTCGATGGTGCTCCTGATAAGAATATCAATCTTGGATCCAAAAAATGGTTTACAAGCGAGAGACTTCGTGAGTAGGAAGCATATCGCTGCTATTGTTGCGATTACTGTTGCTGTGAGGGCACAGGCATTCCCTTCGTTCTTCTTAAGTCCGCCCTTCGTTCTCAAGTCCACCGACTATTGGCAGATCAGCGAAGGCTACTACGGTGAGGAAAATTAGCGGCGTTGGTCGCTGGCCGAAGACAAGGGTGAAGCTTCGCTTTTCTCAGCGACGTTGGTCGCTAGCCAAAGGCAAGAGCGAAACTTCGCTTTTCTCACTACTCTGATACCATGATGAAAATAATATAAGATAAGAAGCTTTATTGAAGAAATGAAAATGCTTCAATTCAGTAACATGTTCCCTAGAGATTTCCTCATATAGTTGGCGAAATCTTATCTTCTATCAATAATGATGATAGAGTTTTATATGATTCGACACTCTTTATCTATATCTATAGATATTCTTCATCATGGAAGAATAAGATATTCTTCGTCGTGAGCCCTCGAGAATTCGATATTCGTATAAAATATCGAATTAAATACACTCGAGTTCACTTAGTGAGTAGAATAAATTATGGGATGGAAACAAAATATAAATAAAATGAATTATCAATGCATGAGGACCTTAATTTTGCTAGTCTAGTGACGTTTTATGTTACTCGTGTCGAGTGGTATCAGAGTCGATATAGAAAAACAACGATATCGAATCATTAGCATTGCTGTTCTTATTTCATGCATCACAATCTTACACTAATAAGTTTCACGAATCCTTGTGATTATTATTGTTCGATAAATTAGACATCAAAGTGCCTTCATCAATCTATAATCCAAATACAGTGCAAGAAAAAGAACAGGGCGGCCACACCCACGTTCACCAGCAGTGTGATCTTGCTGGTCTCGCTCAACCCCATGCCATCCGATCCATATTCTGTCTCTCCGTTGAGTTGCTTCTTCTTCTCTTCCTCCTCCTCCTTCTCTTCTCTTGCGTCAACCACGCTGCCTTCATTCGGCCTCGGCGTGTCGTGTCGGCCGCTGCCTGGTGGTGATTCCATCGCCGCCACCTTGGGCGGAGTTTGAGCGTCGTCGTCGTCGTCGGCTGGAGTGCTCAGTTTCGGGAGGCGGACGTAAAGCTTCTCGCCCTGGAACTTGGCCCGGACAGAGTCGACGTCACAGTTGTCCGGCATTTCGAACTCCTGCCAGAACCGGAGCCATCGCTTGCCTTCGAGCGGTCGTTCTCCGGCCACCGTCAAGAAGCCGTTAGCCTCGACTTGCACCTTGATGTGGTTCTTCTTGAAACCTGTGTCAAGATGACTTGCTTAAGCATTTAGAATGACTTCCTCCGCCAGAGGAGAGAGGAGAGTCTTAGAAATATATAGATTAATAGATTTTGTCTCATTCTAAGATTCGACATTAATGATCATTCAGTACAAACAGATCCATCCTGTCTCATTCATCGATAGAAAAAGGGAAATCAACACACCGCCGAGACAACAATATGAGCTCAATCTCTCAACTACATTTCCCTCCTTACGATCCAAAGTGACTGCCTTTGCTTTCTGTTTTTTTTGTGTGTGTTCATGAAATGGTAACTGATGTAGCTCCAATCCCTTTTCTCTCTCTCTAAACTTCGATAAATTCTTAAACAACTCTTTATCATGGTTCGACTCGACTCGAACTGAAATCATGTTTTCATCGGAATTACGATATATATATATCGGTTCGATTTCAAACCGGTAAGAAAAATAAAGAAAATAAATAAATGATCAAATGTTTATCCCTTCGATAGCTTAATAAATAGCTAATTAGAGGATCATTTAAAAAAATAAAAATAAAATAAAAAAATTGAAATATGTGATTGATGGACTCTTTCTTTCTCTCTCACACACAAACTCCTATCCTCCACATCTCTTTCTCATGGTGACACACACAGACGGAGGAAAGAGAACAAAGAGCTCAAACCTACAAAAATCTTTGCAGCTCTACGAAGATGATGAAACCGATCAAGGTCGAAGATGAGAATGGACTACTACTTGCCAGGAAGAACAATGAAAAGAGTGTCGAGGGATTCTCCCCGAACCCACTTAAAGTCCGGCTCGTAATCTTCGTAGGAGCGAGAACGAGGCGCCATGGTTAGGATCAATGCATGCATAAAGATGGAAGCCATTTATATATATATATGCTTGCCTCCATTAAACCTTCTGCTAAGGTTGTCTACTAAGGATAATTGTGCTCTTCTTTTGGTGGGCTCAAAACGCTAAGTATCGTTTTGCTTTGGGATCTCATGGTAACCTTCTGCCATGGGCAAAGTGGTGTAGGCCTACAAGTAGTAGAAAAAGAAACTACAAACAAGCAAGTGCTATATAGAGGAAGAGAGAGCCACAATTTAAAAGCTATCAATCTAAGAAGAGCACACATGCAAAAGATGGAGATAGTGATTAATCTTGTCCCAAATCTAATGTCACATTCATTGCCATCAAATATGACCAATTGCATTGTAGGGAATCTCTGTCTTTTTTGCTCACTATCATTCCACCTAAAAGCTTGTTTTGACATGGAAACCTCCAATCCTATTTCCCTCTTGTTTTAAGTGCCTACTTTCTCTTGAATAATGCAAAAGAAATAGATTCTTTTTTTTTCTTTTTTTTCCTTCCAAACAACAAAAAGAGAACAAAAGTTAACTCATATTTCTTGTTGATTAAGTTTAAAATGTTCTATGCACACCTCCAGACATTAGAAAACATCCATATATTGCTATTAGGAAAAATTAAAACTTGATATAGGTTTAATTCCCAGACACCAAAGCTAAGTATATGATTCAAAGCTAAACCTGGATCCATTCAAACTGGCCTACTAGAGATGTGGTTCTTGACCCAACCAGATGATGATGGACTCTTTAGCTCATCAATTGGATTAGATCTAGTTGGATACAACCATTTCTAATTTATGCAGGTATTATATCCTGATTAATCTCACATTGAAAGTTGAAGGATGTTCTGAGGAGTACATATCCAAAAGATCTATGATTTGTTTAAAGCCTACTGATCAGTTGAACAAGAATGCTTACATTCTCACAAGAAGTAAAGTATTATGTCAGGTAAGCCAAACAAGAAAAGAAGAGTGTGAGCTAAAGAAGGCATCCTTTTGCCCACCCATGGAGGCCAGAAGGGAATCCCTCACCTGTTAAGCCAATCTTCCCTTGTTAACCAACCCAAGCAACAGCTCTATAAAGGAGGTAGCCATGTCTTCCATCTCCAGTCATCCAACTCGTTCACGGCAGCCCTGCAAACCGAGAGGGCAGGAAATGGACACCAAGCCGCAGACAGCACCTGCTGACCGCTCCTACACGGATTTGAATCCCGTCTTCGACTGGGTTCGAGGAGAAACCTCCGACGACATTCTCATTCATCTCCCTGGCAAGCTTTCCTCCTCATTCAGGACAATGAGTGTGCACTTGGTTTCTTAGTCTTGAGCTTGGTGTTGATGTTGCAGGATTCAAGAGCGACCAAGTGAGGGTGCAGATAGACAGCCATGGCACGCTGAGGACCAGCGGCGAGCGGCCGCTGGATGGCAAGCAGTGGAGCCGGTTCTGGAAGGACTTCCAGTTGCCAGATAACTGCAAAGTGAATGATGTCCGAGCCAAGTTTGACGATGAGATGCTTCAAGTGCATATCCCGAAGATGGTCGTCAGAGGAAATGGAGCTCTGCCTCAACCGGCAGATGCAAGGGAGCCGCAGTCCAAGGAGAAGGCTGCTAACAAACAGGAAATTGAGGATAATAAATCGGTCGATGAAACGAAAGCGGCGCAGCCGGCAAACCCAAAGAAGATGACCGCCGACGATCGCGGTGATCGAAGTGGCGGCATGAGTAGCATCTACATGGGGCTGAGTCAAGCGAGAAAGACATTGCTGATGAACGTGGCTGTCGCTTTCCTGGTGCTGTTTGTTCTTGGATTGTACTTGAAATACAGATTCACAAAGACTGAGACCAGCTAAGTCTTCGCTACATGGTTTCATCACCATACTATTATTGCACGTCATGTAGTTAAAAGACTACAATGCCTGAAATAAAACTATTATTGTCGAGGCCTGTGAGGCCAATTGCTTGTCCCGAGTTCAGAACACAGTTTGTCGGTTGAACAGATCGTTCTCCGTCCGATCCAAACATAAACATAGATCGTAACTTGATCAGGTGTCATGTGCGAATGACAATTTATCTTAGCCAATCTTTTGACATGATTATATAAAATAATCATACATACATACATACATACATATGACACACGACATACATGATTGAATATTATATTTTGGATTTAGATTGATAGAAAAGAGAGTTCTAAGGATGATATTTATTCTCAAGCTAAAACAAGTGCGACGTCTGCTGCTTTTTTCAAAACTAGTTCATGAATCAGCTAATGGAACATTAAGATTTTGTGCAATGTCCGAAAAAAATGAATGAAGTAATAATAATGCTGTAGCGTTCAGGCTCAACAGTCCCAATATCGCATAGCCGGGAAACGTTGGGTTGAAGTCTTAGGGATTCTTGTGGCTCATATATGTTCTTATGATAAGAAAACGAGTGCATCCCAGCTGTGGTTGTATGGCCAGAGGAGGCTCGTTTTGACGTCTTGTGGCCGAGCTGGATATCTACAAGGCCGACTCCACGCACCTGACAACATAATGAAGAGAGAATATGACTGTTCGATCCGCTGACTCACCATATCTTCTTTCTGACCCAAAAGAGAAGCATGACTACTCCAAGCACAATGGCAACAGGCGCCCATTTTCGAATCAAAGCCTGCAAATGAGTAGGATACAGATTCAGTGGGTATAATGTCACAAATCATAGAATCAGGTACAGATTACAACCACAACATTGCCCGAGAGGAATTCATATTTGTCAAAGCCTAACCAGCATCCTCCCTCTTCATTCTTCAGTTGACATCACATGTGCCCATTATTATCAATAAAGTCTCTGCCAGTATCAGTTCAAGGGGTGCAACTTCTACCACTTACTGTTTCGTGCATATAATCCATATATTTGAAATACATGTATTTATATGTATGAAACAAATGTATAGATTTATGTTTCATGCACATGTAGATTTTGCTAACGCTTGGGGACATCTCTCAGCTTTCGTTTTTCACCAATGCGACTCCTGTTGATAGATGTGTGTGGTAAAAGGTCTCAAATAAACCACCACATGTTGTTTGGGCTCCAGGTATCTTCAATCAAAATATGATTGAAGAAAACATTACAATCAAGCATTGCAAATACAATGCCCAGTCACATTTTTAGGAACAAACGTACGGAATAATCATTTCCACAGGCCGCCTCAATAGACCTCCTAATCCAATAACTTACATATAATGGACCTTAAACCATGTGGGCCCGAGATATTAACCGTTAACCAAGTGATCTATTGTAATTTATAACCGGGAATCCCCATCTAATATTCGAGTACTTAGATTTACAAGTTACAATTGCTTTCAGGCTGGTTGGACCTGTACCTAAACTTTCCGCCACCTCTCATTCCTAGTGTCATTTTTCTTCTTTGTTTTATTTTGAATCCTGTATGACTTCAGTTTATTAGAATAACAGCCCTAGATTCTTTTTATCTGCCAGGATCAAACACTGCTTTATTAATATACAGCTGTCAGCTATCAGCTTGGTCGAATGAGGTGATACAGATCTTCATGGAGTTGATTGTCTGCTCTTGCACAATAAAAAAGGGTGTGGCAGAATACCCTCACACGGCACATGTCACCATGTCTCGGACACAGTCACTACATCCTAGGAATGAGATTGGGTCGTATGGTATAATAAAGGCCAAACTGAATTCAAAATCCTGCATGATTGACCAACACTGTATTTCCAACTGAACCCGCTTATAACTCACTGTGTGGGTAAGACAATGTTCATTCTAATCCAGTGGCAGCAATACAAACCAAGCATTTAAAAATGCATGCATAAAAATTAAGAAATATATCTTATACAGGCCAAAGGTCCTATAAAATGTGGTTATGTTTTTTTTTTGTTTTGGTTATGTAATTGCATATGCAAAGGCCTCAGGACACACATTAGCACTGATGCGATAATACCTTTTGTAATATTGCAATTTAGATACACTTGTTTTGCCCACATTGCCCAATTTAGATTCAGTATCAATTTGGAGAAGAAGAGCTTAGTAGGCAATATATAATATTCTGCTAAAGCAGTTTTGCATTGCAACGGCCTCATAAAGGTTGACCATGATGTTTAGAAATGAAATTATCAGAAGGTATCTATTCTAATTAATGGGACAAGACAAGTTTCTAGACATGAGGCATGCAGCTAAAACTTGCAAAAATTCCAAATGTATCTACATGAGCAAATAGAATACAAAACAAAACTAGTGAAAATATCTGACTACATGCTTACCTGCCGATTTAAATCTTTCGCCTTGTCAGCATAGATTCGAGACTCAGATGTCAACCTGCTTGACAATTCACTGACCTCTGCCAAGTTAACATCAAAAATATCAGGAAGTACATAACAAGTAACCTTTAAGATAATTCCTTCTACGTAACAAGTTGCCTCAAAAATTTTAAAGTATATATTACTCTCTTTTGCAAAATGAACTTCAAAAATACGTCTCATTATTATAAAAACACATTGTGATGAACCAGTAAAAACAGAAGGCCATGAATGAGTTTAAATGTTATTGATTGACAATAAAATACTCATGATGGTGAATGCCAATTTAAAAAGCAACTAGAGAAAGTACATCATTCTGTACAAGCATTGTGCTTACCCTATGTTTCCAAAATAAAACAATGGACAATGAACACAATGATTGAGTAAATATCATTCTCATGCTTAGATCATCTTCATTCTTAATCCTTGACTAATTTCAGCTTTAGAATATAATAATTTGTGCAGCTAAAATGAGTTATGGAATCATGGTTTGTGAATACACTCAAATTTCATTCTATCTTCCTACAAAACCAGAAACCTTGATCTGCTTGTTCAAACAAAAGTTCATGCTTAACCAACAGTCACTATTCAGCCCAAGATTTGCACCCTCTTCTGCAAAATCAGAGTCTCAGTCATTGAACCTAAAAACAGGTACTTCATGAGTACTTGGAACAGGAAAAATAATGCTTATATGTAATTTGACACAGGTCTACTCAGGAGAAAATATCCAATTTTTCTTTTTTATTTAAATAAAAACCAATCAAAGATTATTCTAATTGCACAAAATGATAAAAAAAGTTGGGGAAAGATTTTGATGGTTCATTTCTTAAGGTTAGATTACAAAGGGCAGTTTAAAAGTTCACAGATGGGTTTAAAGTTGATGCAAAGTTGATTTTTCAATCTTCTAATAAACCTTTTGCAAAATGCTAGAACAACAGCATAGGAATCAGTAATTTTTAGTACAACATCTCCATTTGTCACTAAGTACTAATATATATCATAGGCAAAAAAGAGTAGGGTTAACTTACGGTCTAACTTTTCACCAACACCAAGAACCTCCTGAACATTGCGAGTCATTATTTGGTGGACTTCATAAAGTTCATCATTAAGCTTTGCAATATTACGTTGAGTGTGGGTATCCAAATAAAGTTTCTTGGTTTTCTGTATAAAAGTATCTACATAAGCACAAAAGACAAAGCAACAAAACATCAGAATTTAAATACAATTAACAAATTACAGAGGACAAACTACAGTTACATAAGAAAACGTACCAAATTTGATAAAAGCATATGGTCTTGCAGCAGTTTCAATTTGACCTCCATTGACCCTCTCAAACTCATTCTTGAGGTCCTCCAAGTATTGGAAAGCAAGCTTCTTTGGATAAGATCGATCACACATTGTCAGGTAACAAACACGGCCCTCAATAATATAGCTAAGCAGCTGAGTCAAGGAGAAATAAAGCAAAAAGTACCACACTTCAAAGTGCAACAAGAATATAACTATCTTATAAAAACAGAAAAGAATCAATTATTAGTTCAACAAAATCAAACTACCTTCATTACCATGGAGAACTGCAGAAATTTATTCTTTAAAAGTTGTGATCCCTACAATGATAGTGGAAAAGCTCTTTTGGTTTCAAAAATTAAAGGGATCAGACCAATTGAATATGATGTATTATCAGTTGACAGCAGAAAATTATTCGTTAAAAAAATCTTCAGAAGTCCTGATCGTTACAATACAATGAAAGTGGTACAGCAAATAAGGTCAGATCAATTGAATATGTTGTATATTCAAATGACAGCAAAATTTCTTTCACAGGATACAACAACAATAACTAGAAGCCATAATGTCCCGAATATTTGGGGTTTGGCTAAATCTTCATTAAATAACAGTTGCACAAAGAATTGAAGTACATAAATCAGTTCCGAAGGAAATTATCTCTCAAGAAAGAAAACAGCCACCTACTACTGGATTATGTCAGTCCTACAAAAGAATTTTCAAGATGGAAAAGCTTAAAAACCTTTCATGTTGATGTAAAAATTGGATAACCTGAAATATTTGATTTGTTGACCACATTTTTCATTATCATCATTCCCATGCAATGTAAGCTTGGTTAACAAGAACTACATGCCCAAGTACCGAATCACTTTCAAGAAAAACAACCAGACATAGGATACTGGAAAAAGTATGGACCAGTCTCGATTGACATTCTAGAAGCCTCATAGTGACCCTTTGAGAGACTTTTAAATAAAAGCTTTGCTTGCTGCTTATAGAAGTCAGCATCTTTCTGGTCACGACCATCATCCAATCCTTCTGCTAAAGGTAGGCCATCGGTAACACGTGCTATCATTGTCAACTTTACCATCTTAACCCACACGAATAGGAACTGATGAAGAATTTTAATCAAAATAACCTTCAGAAGTTACCTGGGCATAAAAAGGGAGAAATAAGAATTAAACAAACAATAATTAGGCACTAGAAAACAATATCACATAGAAAGCCACAGTCAGAAACGAGAAGAACAGAAAGTTTGTGTTTTAGCAATTTAACTGCTTAAAAAAGTATTTATTAATGTCTCCAAGCCAAACTTTCTGACAAGTAAAACAACAGATACCACCAAGGGACTCACAATAACCAAGATCACTGATGAGAAATTCCAAAAAAGAAAGATTGGAGTAAAGAAGTTCATGATCAACAGAACATCTTGAAATTAATGGTTCAACTCCGAAGGATTTCAAAACTGTTATGACTAAAATCCAGAATATAGATTTATAGCAGCCAAAATATATTGTGGAATATATCAAAAAGAGCATCTGCAACCAATGCAGATTAATTTAAGAAAGAATTCATTTTGGCAAGTATAGGCTACTTATACCCACACATTGCCTTTCCGAATAGCAATCATCCTATCACAGGTGCCTACATATTTAACATGTTTAATATTCATCAGTAGTACTAATGAACCTTATGCTATGAAACACTAAAGTAAGAAATCGGTACAAAACTTATTCTTTTATAATACGAAAAGTATGAAAATGTTTGAAAGGGTTCAAGTATCCAATATTTGTAAAATATTGTACAATCAAGCAACATCTGATGCTATGCCCATATCAAGTAATATCATCAAGATAAGCAAAAGGAACAGTACACAAGAAAAGAAAATTGTAAAAGTGAATGAAAAAGTAATTGGATACTGAAAAATACATACATAAAATACAGATCGAGAAAGACATATGACCAGCATTAGACTTTTGTTTTTTCTTGATGATTTTTGAAAAAAAATAAAAAAAATGGAAGTTTCACAAGTGAGGAGTTATTTTCAGGACAAGGTCAATTAGTAAGACAATTTCCTGGGTATATCATCTCAAGACTCAAAGTCCTAAAGGGCTATCCCTATCTCCAAAATATCCAAGTTTATAGCTTTCTTGTGCAAATTAATCTTTAAGCTAACAATCTTGTAGAACCAAAAATAAGAATGCATACAAAAAATGGCCACAAACTAAATTTTTGATGCAAATGACAATACCATCTAGTTGTTATATAATTAGTTCCAAATGCATTAAAAAGAATGCTGCTATGCAAATAAACTAACATGTTGATTACACAGAAAATCAAACTTATATTTAGAACATAAACAATCACAGACAAGGGGAAAGAATAAAATTTAAAAAAAAACTGCATCTACCGTGAAGATACAAAAACTTGTCTTCGGAGAAAATCAAGATGACTATTCCAAAATTCTATCTTCTAGTAGCATGCATCAGAGACATTCCAAAAGGAATGTAAGTGACAAATTTAATTTCATGACGGAGACACCTTCCTACACCAAATTACCAGTAAGTTAAGATGGATGTAAATATATCAGAGCCACAATAAAGTCATACAGCAAAAGAACAAGGTCTCAGGCAATTGCATGAGGAAGACTTGACGATATCTTTACTTAATTCTTGTCCATACTGATACCAAGATACAGTAGTACTCAACGAAACACCAAGGCATCGACAACAAGTCATCACCCTAATTTTCGCTCTTTCAAGACACCTCACTCTTCCGCTCATCCCTACCACCAAATCCATGTCGATCTACTAAATTCCGCTGCACTTATTGCATCAATCAATAAACCCTAGACCAACAGAAGAAACGAAACCCTAGATCTACTACCGTAAACAATAATTAGATGAAACGTACAAGTGAAGCACCCAGTGGCCGATCAAAGGAACAGACCGTACTAGAATCAGCAGATCCGAAGAGTCCAACGCACGAAAGACGAACAGGTCCACTGGATCTGTATTGAGCAAAAACCTAGGTCGAGATCGGAAACAAAAGAGAAAGAACGGGGATTACCCGACAACTGAACTCGAGAGATCGTCTCGCGTTCCTCGAGACGAATCCTCGGAGAATCGATCGGTGGGCTTGAGACCGTCGCAGGCGATGCGTCCCCGCGTAGGTGGGTACGGAAATTGGAGGAGACGGGGGCCGAGGAAACCGCTTTGTGGAAAGATAACGAGAGGGGGGGTGAATGATACGATACTAATATAGAATTGTGCGGTGAACGTCATTTAGGCGTTGAGCAGTAAAGAGTGGTAATTGGTAAATGCTTTCATTTATTTATATTAAAGATATTTATTTATTTTTTCAAAAATATTAAAATATTTTTATTGCAAGAATATTGAGAAAATAATCTTATGCATTACTCTCTCATTATCTTAACATTTACTTTCATTCTCTTGCAATATAATAGTATTTATATTTTTTATATAAATATTATATTTAAAAAAAATAAAATTATGATATGATAAATTGATGATCTTATGATAAACATTAAAATTTTACTAACTAAATTAGCTGACATGATAATCTAAAATAATATTTGAAGAAGAACCCATTCTTTGAAGACAGTATGTGATTGCACTACCACTTTGGGCTCCATTAGCTGCCTTCCTGAACACACATGAAGCATAAGAAATAGTGTTTAGGAAAGGTAAGATGGTAAATGTGTATATAGAATGACTACTTCTCACAACTATTCCTATAAAATCCATAGTTATTATGAAGGCATCACCTGCATCATGGCTTACAAATATCAGGCAACTCGGAGAGCTATTATCTTGAACTCCATATCGATCTAATACTCACAAATAATATCATACCACCAGCATAATAAGATTTATTACCTAGAAAATGATCGGATATAACATATATATATATATATATATATATATATATATATATATATATATATATATATATAGGTGAAAGTACAGTGTCCACAGTATAGAAGGTTTCACAAAAGAACAATAGTATCAAGAGGCATAAAGGTTTTCAACAGGAGCATACCAACATCCTCACATACGGATATCCTCGCGCAGGAGGAACAGAGACTTTGCCACGCAATGTTAGCCTTCAGTCGGCAGTCCAGCTTTGCTCCACTATCTCACGAACTCTCCGATTGTATTCACGCTTGTTCTCGCTGAACATACGAGCAGCCTCAGAATTCGCAGGAGAGTTTGGGTTCGGGTCGCAGAGGAGCGACTGTGAGAAGAACAATTATGAGACGTCAATATCGTCTGGTTAACATTAAAAGTCTCTGCATAACAAAGATGTAAGTCTGCCCTAACTTGTCCATGACACTAAAACTTATGTGACAAGAATGAAAGGAAGATAAGTTTTTCTGATTTCTAAATCAGCTAGAGTAACTGAATTCAGCCAATGTGAGGATCCATGTACAGTATATTCTTCTGATGTTCTTAGAACCTTATTTTAAACATTTTAGTCAGAGAGCCAACTTCTGAATACTTATCTTTCATGTATTCCAGGAGTTGTACTCCAAATGGCATCTAAGAAATCATATTAATCAATGATAGATGATTAAACCCAAAACATCCATAATATGGTACTAATGATCATAAAGATATCTAAGAAGACAGTATCTTATTAGGTACGATATAGATGAAATAATGTAATGTTGCACTCAGAGCATTGACCAATTCCAGAAATTCAACCGACCCTGTTTCACAACTAAATATGGAAGAGACACCTCTGGACTTATCAGGTGCATTGTGAAATGACTACAAGGATTTCTATCTTATCTATTACTTTCACTCTATTCATACATGTGCCCGAGAAATGCTAGCATAGTAATTTGTTTCCTCAAGAATATTCTAGAGGCCAAAACCAAGGAACCCAATAGCAACAGCGTGAAATTTGACCAATAAATGTGCAGTCATGCAGAATAAGATTTAACTAATGCTAGATTCTATGAATTAGCAAGCTCACAAAGTTCCTTGAACATTAGACATGGTATACAAATGGTGCTACTGTCAAGTTGTGGTCATGAATGGAGAGTGGTACGCATGATCAAGACAAGAAGAATTAAAATTACTAATTTCATGTTGTTGTGCAACGACAAGATCATTATCGCTTAAAATTTTAGGTCCTTATCTGACGAAGGCCTAAAGAAATGACCTCATAGGCCATAAACTTGGAACATTATATAGCAACTTTTGATGGTCGAAATACAGCTTAACAAGAATAGGAAGGATTGAATCACCAGAGAATTCTCTGTCTCTTCAAACTTCAAATTTATTTTACATTGCTTTGTGAACCTTTTTCTTTGCCATACCACCTACTAATATATGCATATTACACATTGATATTAAACAAGAAGATTATTTAATGCACAAACCAATTTATAATATAAAGTGGCCATACTTTCTTTTTCACTTACATCATCTACTGTTGTAGTTATACAGAAATTCTGTTAAAGCCTATAAATTTTGATTCTGAAAATCAGCTTCTATTTGCTAAACCTTCTTTGTTGAAGCCCACTACAAGTACTATATAGTGGAAGTTCTGATATTCAAAAGCTGCACATATCATTGCTTTTGAAATGTGGCAATATACCAAAACACTAACCTGAATAGAAGTCAATATTGCAGCAACATCATAGATTGGACTCCATTGATTCTGTAGAATATCCAGGCAAATGCTCCCATCTGCATAAACTGATCCATACCATGGCATTATTGTTACAGTGAGTCTCTTCTCTTAGACAACCTACTAATATGAATAATAGCAAGCAGCAGTATTGAACCATCTGAGTATTGGTACTCTCTTGCTATTAAAAGTTGACTCATGTGCCAGTTTAAACCAATAGAAGCTTCATGGGAAAACACGCCAATTAACAGTAAAAAGCAGTGAACATCCTTGTCAGAAGCAAAACTTACTGTTTGGATGAAACATTCGTGAGACAAACCGCACAGTTGGGGGCTTATTCGGGTAATCCTCAGTGAACTGCAGAGTCAGTTTAAATGTCCCTGCAATATAGATAGAATGAACATGAAAATTTTGATGTATGAAGCAGAAATTTGTTGCAAGCAATCATAAAGAAATGCTACGTGAATACTTCATAACATTCCTTCACATATGCCAGCAGACCTAAATTTAGATATTCTAAATGGAAATCAACAAAGCTGTCCATACTAGATGTCTCCCAGTCACCATTTCCATAGACTACAATGCTAGCAAACATGCAGGAAGCCTTTAGAGTTTTCAGTTACTCTCATATTAAAAGAGTGTTGGTTCAGAAGAAGGGCACTTGAAACAGTCTTAAAAATTTGAGGCTTTAATTCCTCAGGGAGTAAGCACTGGAGTTGACCTAAAGAGTGACACAAAAAACATGGCACCAGAAAAGGAACTATAAAGTGGTTAAAGGTTCTTAACACTTCAAAATTCAAGGGAGTGGTCCTTAAACAAAATCATCGTTGTAGGACCAGAAAGTTAATTTAAAGTTACAATAATCATGTACTGTTCCATCTTGGTACCAGACTCTACCTTATTGCTATAGGGCCTCATCTACAGTAACAATTGTATCCAGTGCTGGGCAACATGGTATGTCATGCAAAATGGGTTATCGTTGTGTATCTTGTAGCTCAGTTGTTGCTACTGTTCCATGATCATCATTCATAGCTAAGCAGGGAAGAGAACAACCATGGTTATGCTGGAGAGCAAGCAGATTATTACTGCTATAAGTTGAAAGACAAGATTATATACCAATTAAAAGATTCCAAGAATAATAGCTTTTGCTTCTGCAATAAAATTTAATGATGAATTCAACTATAGGAGTGTAAATTGTCAGATTAAATGCTACAAATGAAAGCAATGGCATACGAACCAAAGAAAAGCATGAATGGGTAGGCAGCTAAAGGGTTAGGCTTAAAGAGCTACAGTTTTTAAAAGGGATAAATATAATGAGCAATTTGGAGCCATCAAGGAATTCATAAACACCTACAAGGGTAATATACTTATGTGCTATTATTTCATCCTTCGATACAAGATAACAACTTGCTTTTATTGATTATTTGGTTCCTTAAAAATTTCACCTATCTGAATCTGAGCAGAAGCCCTAGAGATATTCTTTTAATTAAGAAAGAATTGTTCTTACTGGAACAAGCAAGGAGCAAAGAGAATTGTCTTTGCCCTACAAAACAAGATGAAACTATTTATGGGTTTGGGTGACTGTCAATATCACCATCTTTGGGCTGTGCAATTGCATATCAGAAACCAAAAGTAGACCAGGGGATGTTGGACATCGACTGGATAAGGAAAGGCACAAGGTGTTCCCTCAGTTGCATTGTTCTGAGCTCACAAAAGGAGGATTACAAATCCTAACTACACAGATGACAATGTACCTTAATCAGCAGGATTAACTTAAATAAAAGTAACTTTGACGATGATGATTAAGGACAACCAGGAAATTAGAAATGAAAATTAGCTATCTTGACAGGGAAGCAACATAAATTTACAAAGTTACAGAGAACCAAATAAGAGAAAATTGAGCAATCGCCAAATTGACATATAAGGACATGAGGAGTTGAAATGAAAGGATAACAAAGTAAGAGACATGACAACTCAGGTATGAAGTTGAGAAAAAAGAGATTGTGAAGTTGATCATCTTCTTTTTGATAAATTTATGTTGTGATAGCTACCCCTTTCAGTGCTGCTTTAAGTGACCCACCCACACAGTTGCAGTCCTCTACTTGTATTTTGAGCAAAGCTGAGTTGAAATGAAAGGATAACAAAGTAAGAGACATGACAACTCAGGTATGAAGTTGAGAAAAAAGTGATTGTGAAGTTGATCATCTTCTTTTTGATAAATTTATGTTGTGATAGCTACCCCTTTCAGTGCTGCTTTAAGTGACCCACCCACACAGTTGCAGTCCTCTACTTGTATTTTGAGCAAAGCCATCACAGATTATTGTCTGTACTTTATTCCTTCATCTGAATTTTCTACCAAATCGGTTGGCCTAAGTTCCTGTCTCACATTTTGTCATACTGGAGTCTTAACAAGCAATTATTTTTTGCTTTTTTTTCTTTTGCAGCATTGTTGAGAAGGGAATGCCCCTTTTGAACATTTTCAAATCAACCACATGTTTTACTAATTTCGTGAATCTTTATTTCTTCTTGATACATCATTCATTGGTTTGTTCTTCATATATTCCAGCTTCCACCT